AAAGAAAAGAAAAAGGCTCCTTGTGCCCGTTCGTGGACAGCCTCATTTCCTACCCATATCCCTTGCATCCACAGACCAATTTCTTTGTTTTTTGTTTTGCCTTTTATAGAATGTCAGTAAAGCTTCTCTGACCTTTGAACTCACATCAGGTGATAATCTCTTTTAGCATCCTATAGCCCTTATTTCAATTCTAATTATACTGTGTATGCAATTAATTAAAAATTGTTCAATGTCCATCTCTTCTGCTAGACTTCTGCCAGCATGTCTGAAGGAGGGAACTGTCTGCCTGATTCATTACTGTATCCTCAGCAGTCCCATCAAGCAGATGCTCAACAAATGTTTAGTGAATGAATGAGTGACTCAATGACTATAAGTAGAGGCTCTAGGTCACCTTTGACTCAGCAAAAGCAATGCATTATTCAGTGATATAAAATCTATCATATTGTAAAGCATACAGAGACCTTATCATTCAAACAGTCCTGAAGTGTATGGGTAAATTTTTGGAGTTACATTGAATCTGAATACTAGCAATCAGAACTATCCTAGGCAATTCCAGCTGCATGATTGATATATTCAGTTAATCAAAAATAAGATGGAAACACTTTATTGTCTTTTGCCATTATTTTATACATCTTATTTGAGACTATTTCATAATTTTTACACTCCATATATTTTGTAGCAGATCTGACATGACAGTGATGCTTAAGAGCAAGACCATGAAGTCTTCAAAATCTAGCTTGTTTTCTGTGTGCTCATCAAGTTCAGAAAGGATCTCTCTGTATTTTGGCTTGGTTTCTTGTCCCTGTGAGAATAGAGAAATAAAAACCAAATTCATCGTATAGACTTTAGGTTTACAGATCATAAACAATAATGTCTTAGTCTGGTCAGTGTTGCTGTAACAGAATACCTGAGACTGGGTGATTTATAAAGAAAAAAGAAAAATTTGGCTTGCGATTCTGATGGCTGGAAAGTTCAAGATGAGGCATCTGCAACTGGTGAGGACCTCAGAGGGCTTCTACTCATGGTAGAAAGTGAAGGGGAGCTGGTGTATGCACAGATCACACGGCAAGAGAGGATGCAAGAGGAGGAGGGAAGTGCCAGGCTCTTTTGAACAACCAGCTCTCGTGGTAACTAATAGAGTGAGAACTCACTCAACACTCCCACACAAAAGGGAGGTCATTCATTTATTCATGAGGGCTCTTGTCCCATGGCTTCAAACACCTCCCATAAGGTCCCACCTCCTACATTGGAGATCAAATTTCAACATGGAGTTTGGAAGGGACAAACATCCAAATCATAGTAAATAATAAACATGTTATTAACAATAATAACACATCAAGTTGCCAACAGTGCTACCAGTAAAACACCATGTTAAATCTTTTTATGCGTTACCTTATCTAACCATCATAGTGACCTTATTGAATATATACTACTATTATCCTTATTCTACAGATGCAGTTATCAGAGACAGGTGATAATCAACTTGCCCCAAGCTGGGAAGGTTTTGGTGTGGAGCCAGGGTTTGAAGCCTTTCTACCTCTTGAGAGCCCACACTCTTAACTGCTCAGCTATTCTGTCTTTCTTTGAACACACATACTGTGTTTTTAAATTTTCAAAATATAATCTTTGTGTTAGGGAAGGTATCCACCATGAGTTCATTATCTGAGCCTTAAGATTATGCAGAAATATAGAATACAATATGCTAAAAGAAAATACGTGCTTTGAAAGATTATTTAGCATTCAGTTTGATTATAAATCAAATATATGTTCATAGTCTTTGTACATCATCAGATTGAAGGAAAACATCTTAATAGTATATAAATGGAGAGACCTTTTAGTTTCAAATCACAGCTTGTGAAATATCTTTCCCAGTGATGTTAAAAATGTTAGAGTCATTTGATTCACCATTATATTGAACCATATTTGCATTTAGTTTGACCCCAAATGCTCACCTATGTGCTAGCTGTACAAAGCCATCACAGCAATGACTAAGGCACTTTGGGAATGATGCTACATTCCTCTTATAGGCTTAGGCTCATTCTGGTTTCTCACAGCTGTTTCTCCTCAAGAGGTCACCGTCACCCTATCCATGAGGGCCAAGGGGCGCTCTCTACGCTCTCCCTCCAAAACAGCTGAGTGCTATTTGGAAAGGGTCAGATTCCAAGACACAGGTAGATGCTGCCACTCTACTAGCAGAATGGCACACTGTTTGCTCAGGGGTACGAGATAGGTATTGGTCTTCTTCTTTTTTTTCCTGCATATTTTAAGAGCGCACCATTTTCTGAGGTCCAGTCCTCCTGGGGCATGACCTGTCATCTTTCTGTATCTTCCCAGTAGAGCCTTTAGGTGCTTTGTTTTATTCTGTCTGACTGGTTATAAGGTGCTAAGATCCCCAAAAGCACGTTTAGCCCTATGGGAACGGCAATGTTCCCCTTAGAACTCAGGCCTTAGCCAAAAGAACCAGCTCCGTTTATCAGAGGACACAACTGGGATTGAGGAGAAAGTCCAGTTAGGTATGAAGTGGGCTCCTGAGCTTTACCGTTGACTCACGTGCATGCACCTGCCCTACGGGGTCTCATGGAGTGCGGTGGTTGGGCCAAGGCAGCATTCTGACAGACATTGAAGAGAATGCCTTGGGATGAATTGCCCCCTCAAGTCCCTGAAATATGGCTCCGCTTTCATCTTGAGCAGAGGGCAAGATTACACTGAGTCCTGGGTGTGCCTGATGCTAGAGAGACCCAGAAATTGGCTGTACTTCTAGGGTTTAGCCTACACTGAGAGACATGAGGCTGAAGGTGTCTTTCCTAAGGACTGGTTTTTAATTCTTTTCCCCTGGTGTTCTGACAGGGATGATGAGTTACATCAAGATGATGCATCCACTAGTTCTTCATTTTCATGTGTTAAAAGCTTGGTGAGCATTTGCCAGGCTACCAGGTAATGAGCCCCTTTTCTGTCTGGCATATGGGCCCCATTTCTTTTGGCCTTGGATGCAGGCAAATGGTATAGGATTTATTTACCCATCCTTTCCTTAGACTCCCCAAAACTTGTTATCTTTTAATAAATTCTGCCTGATATTTCTGCCTGAAAAAGTAGCTTCCCCCCGAAAAAAAAATCAGAAAAATACATGCTTAATATAGAACATTTAGAAAAAGTAAATTTAAAAAAAGGACTGTGACTGTAACCTTTTACCCCATTACTCAAAATAGCTAACCCTTATTAACATTTCTTTCCATTCATTTATCTGTACATTACACTATATTCTCTCTTTCTCTCTTGAAATAATCACCCACTCACAGAAAGTTGTACCCTTGACTCAGCTCCCCGCAGTGGGTGACATCTTGTATAACTGTAGTGCACTGAAACCATATATTGGTGTGTATGTATGTATATGTGTGCATATATAGAGAGGACACTATCTTTTCAATATTTCAGAAGAGATACAGGGACTTGGAGACTGCCTCTATGTGCTTTATTGCTCTTCCCATCAATAAATATTGATAGTTTAAGCTGATATGAGGCCCTCTTTTCCTCTTACACATTTTCCCTAGGCTGGTATTTTCCAAAATATGAACATATACTGCTGATAGAATGTAATGCCATTTTAGGTGATGCAAGAATAAATATTAAACACTAAATAAAAATTGATAGTCATCTATTTTTTTCACTACTATTTTTTACTCTCATCCACTGAATTTATAATAAGAATAATGATACAGTGTCCTTATAAAAATTTACTTAAGTAGAAAGAAACATAAAGGAAAAGTTCAAAGCAACACAGGCTATAGGCAGATGTGGGAAAAATACTAACTGTGGTGTTCAATGGCTGAAGTTTGAGAAATATACCCTTAGGTGAGTAAGGTAGTAACCTTTAGGCCAGTGACTGAATATATACTGCTGACTCTCATTTCTATATTTTGAACACAGATCTCTATTCTCACCTTTGAAGTCATCTATCCTGTTGCTAAGTCTCTCCTCTTAAATGTTTCATGGACATCTTAACATTGACACATCCTAATGGAATTCAGCGTCTCCTCCCTTCCTCCACCCCACCTCAAACCTGCTTATTCTTTAGCCTTTTTCTTCTCTAGGAATGGGAATACCATCATTTCTTTCCTAAGTCAGAAATTGGGTTGTCATCATTTGCTTTCCTGTCGTTCAACTCTCACAGTCAATCAGTTGTTAGATCTTGTTCATTCCACCTTCTAAACATCTCTACTATTTGTTTGTTTCTCTCCATCTTCATCGCCGTAGTCTAAGCCATTACCGTCTTTCTCTTGAATTGCCTCCCCACAGTTAGTTATTCCCTTTTTTCCTATTCCACCCCCAACCCCAGTCTGTTCTCTGTACTGCAGCTGGTGTAATTTCTTAGGCCTGAACGTAGAAACCATTCCTGGCTTCCTCTTGCTATCAGGCTGTGCTTCTGTAAGATTTGGCTTCTCCTCACCTTCCCAGCCTCATCTCTAACCACTTCCCAGCTACCGTCCCATCCCTTCTCACCAACTGGTCCTCCAGATCTCTGCTTGGGATGCCATCATTCTTACTCCCCCTGGCCTAGCTACCTCCTGCTCACCCTTCAGATCTCAGCTATACCTTAGTTTTCCAGGACTCCATCTTTGACTACCTGCCCTAAGATAGTTCCTCTGTTTTACTCTCACTGAATGTTCTACTCTTTCACATCCTTCGACTATTTTTAATTACTTTTTTAACATATTTCTTTCCCCTGCTGAGGATTCCTGTCTTCACTGCAACAACTCCAGTGCAGCTCACTGCCTGGCATAAGGTAGGTGTTCAATAAACATTTGTTACGTGAGACAACATGACAGGGACCTGGAGGTGGAGTGATTCGCTCGTTGGGTCAGCCATGAGGGTGTGGTTCCTGTTTCTTTATGCAAGTTAATTCTCTTACCTCTGTGAAATTCCCAAATTGGGTTTGCAGCAGATCTTTGGCAGTAGCTTTTTCAAGTTTACCATCAGAGTCAGAAGAATTTCTGAAAATCAGAGCAGTGGTGGCAATGGCTTTTTCCAGATCTGAGCACTTCCTCAGAGCTAGGAGAGAAGAAATGTGCAACGAAATATCCTGAGTTAGAAATAACCCTTCCCCAGACCTGCTGTTGTATCTTTCAAGGGAACCGTGGGGAACCTTCTAAATCTTGGCCCTTTGCCTCCTATCTGGGAGCAGGATGCGGGAGTTTCCGATCCTGCATCTTTAAACAATGGAGAACAAAATTTCCCTTAATAGCAATTAGAATTAGTAGAGTTAGAAATGAGATTTACCAACTGGTTGCCATGTGACCTTAGAAAAGTCCCTCTGTATGCTTTGGTTTTCTGATCTGTAATTTCATTCAGCTATTCAACAAATATTGATAGAGCATCTACTATGGATGAGGCTCAGTCCTTGATATTAGGAATCACTGAATAAAATGAAGTCCTGCTCTTGTGGAATTTATATTCTGTGTCAGACACAGCATCACTTCATGTCAGTATGATAAAGGAGAATGACTTTCGGGAAAAGCTCTTTGCTATAATGATGAATAAGGGTTCTCTTTGACTCGTGGCCTAAAACAGAGTGATCTCCCAGCTGGTTTCTCTCAGGTAAGCTCCTTGATAGGGCAATGCTAATTTGTTTCTTTCCGCTGCATTGCTGTGAACACAGGGAAATGTACAAGGTACCATGAAGAAAATTCATATGCTCTGTGTTCTTTTAGTCACCAATACATCCCTAGTGTATAACTTACCACACTTTACAGTTATTACATGTTTATCTGTCCTTTCCTCAACTAGAAAACAGTCTCCATGGGCTAGGGATCAGATCTTTTTTTCTTAAAAATCACTATATTCCCAGTGACCAGTACAAATGTCTACTACATTGTAGGTGCTAATATATGCTGTTAAATGAATGAATGCGAAGAAAATAAAATCTCCCAGCTTTCAGCCCAGGTAGTGTGCAACAATGACAGGTTCAAAGAATGATGTTCCGTCAGAATAACATGATTTTCATATTGAGTGCTTACTAAGTGCCTGGCACTTCCCAGCACATAGAGGGAACAAACCCAGATGTGGGGCCAGGCACAGTGTCTCATGCCTATAATTCTAGCACTTTGGAAGGCTGAGATGGGGTGATTGCTTGAGGCCAGGAGTTTGAGACCAGCCTGGTCAACAGAGCAAGATCCTTGTCCTTACTTTTTTTTTAATTAAAAAACCTCAGATGTGGTTTCTACTCTCACAGATCTTACGATCTAGCAGAGAAATCAATAATAATCAAGAGTATGTGTATGTATACACACGTATTTATTTTTTGTTATATGTCCACATACATATTTTATTTTTTTATATATATATATATATTTACAACTTGTGGTGTATGAAGCAAGGAAGGTACTGAGACAGGAAAAAAAATCACAGAGTGGGTCTGGGTAGAAAACTACTTAGATGGGTGCTCTGGAAGGCCTCCATGAGTAGATTAATATTTAAGCTAAGATTACTAGCATGAGGAGGAGCCAGCCATGAAAAGGGTAAGGGTCAGGGTGAGATTAGGAATTTGCTGAATGTTCCAGGCTCGGGAAGCCAGATATGTGAAGGCTCAGGTCGGAAGAAATCTGGCATATTTGGCAGATTTCTGAAAGAAGACAGTTGTGACTAGAGTCTAGGGGCCAGAAGAATGTTTGTGGGCAAAAGCTAGATCACACAGGACTTATAGGCCATGTAAGGGAATCCGGATTTTCTTCAAAGTGGAAAGAGAAGGCATCGAAGCATTTTGAGCATCTAAATTTTCAGTTAAAGATGATGAGGAGGGACAAGACTGAAGATAAATGGGTGAAAGGAGGGAGTGTGTGGGCCTTCTCGGTTTTTATCGTATCTCTGAGCAGTGCCCAGGCTATATATTTGGTTAAATAAAGTTCACATTGCTAAGAAATGGCAAAGAAAGTATTTGAAACCTTTGACTTCAAAGTCCATAGAAAGATCAGCCACTTAGGAGTATCTTTTTGCAAGGGCATCCCCATGGTGATTGTGGAATCCAGATATTTTTTGACCCTCTAATGAAGTTTGGGTCTGACAGCACTCTGAAATGGGAACTCCATCTGGTCTAGCTAGCCAACTTCCCATTCTTTTCCTCCATCTCTTAGCATGCCTTTCCCCTGACTATAAAATAGCATATGGCCATGGTAAAAACAGAGCTAGAAAATATTAAAAATAAAAGATAACGAGGAACTCTGGTTGTTCTAATAACACTGATGATATTTGGTGAGGCGTTTCAGTTTCCTGTTTCTATGGTTGGATTCTTCCCTTAATAAACCCAGCATGTTGCCTCTTAATTCCTTCGCTGTCTGCCTTGCAGAGTTGGGAACTAGTATGTGAAAGCATATTGTAAAGGGCTAAGTGCAACTGAAAACACAAGGGGCTGCTGTTTCTCTTTTGGCATCTTTTATTGGCTCTCTTGCCTCTGGAATGGGGGTACAGGGAAGGACATTAAGCCCGGCCGGGTTCTGCTGCCCTCTTTGTTATTCTCTAGCTCACTGTCAGTACTTTAATAATACTGAACTGTATGTAGTCCCTAAATACTCTATCCATCCAACAAGCATTTATTGGCAAGTATTACCAGGCCCTGTGATACTTCTGGGGCGTAGAGCAGTGAGCAACATCAAAAGAACAAACCCTGACTTTTCGGAGCTTGTGTTCTGGAGGGCAATAATATATGACACACATTCTACGTGCCAATCACTCCTCCATGGGATGCATGCACATGATTCAACTCACTATATTCTGATGTCAGTCTGATGAGGTAGGTCTTAGTATCAACCCCACTCTATCGATGAAGAAATGGAGACAGCGAGAGGCTAAGTATTACAGCTTGCCTCACAACAACTCTGGTTTCACTCCAAGATGCACACTGCCTCTAGGTGTTGTTTTTTCAGGCAGTGGATTTTGCAGAACTCTTTCCCAAACTCCCAGATGGGGCTACATGTCCCTCCTTTGTGCTTCTATAATTCTTAAACGTAACCTTTTCATAATCTTCACACTGAAACACTCTGTCTACATTATCTTCTACATCAGTGCTGCCCCCCCACCAAAAACAATTTGAACCACAATCATAATTTTAAAATTTCTGATAGATAGCCACATTAAAGAAGTAAAAAGAGGCCAGGCACGGTG